TATATATATATATATATATATATATATATATGGAGGTTTAAACGAGAACACCTTCATTTTATGAGAACGCGAGAACACCCTTATCACATGTGATAATACGCGTGAGAGGACCCTGTGATGTGTACACGACGTGTTCTACGACTTAGGCCGTGCCAAAGGTTGCATGCGTCTATGACTTAGCATCACATGTGATGATCTTGATGGATTATAATATCATATCAACAAGAACCTTATCACATGTGATAATACTTGTGAAGGGGCTTAGTGGTGTAACTGAGACTTGGCCCGCAAGCAAGATCGCATAGAAAATCGCCTGCGTATCTGATTTAGTATCATATGTGTATCACATGTGATGGAATAAAAGTATCACATGTGATTGTCTATAGTAAAAACTAAAAAAAGTGTTCTCGCATTCTCGTAAAATGAAAGTGTTCTCGTTTGAAACCATATATACACTTATCAATCTTATTCTTAACCATGAGATTAAGAAAATTAATGTTTTCTCTATTGTTGAGAATTTAATTAATAAAAAAATTATAATAATTATATATGTTTTAAATATATATATATATATATATATAATTAATTTAATATATACATATTAATTTTTAAGACAAAGAATATTGTTTTTTATAACTATAAAGGTATATGTTTATTTAGATTAAATGAATTAAATAAAAGATTAAGTTTCAAACAAAAACGCTAACTATTTAAGAAAACAAGAAAAATATCGTAATGTACAAAATCACATAATAATTTTACATTGATGGCAAAAGATGGAAACATACGACTTTTGAACTTGTATGATTTTGTACGTGAATATGTATGTGTGTGTATGAGAGAGAGAGAGAGAGTTTATGACTTTGTACGTGAATTATATATGATTTTGTACATTAACGATATTTTTCTTTTTTTTTAAATAGTTAACGTTCTGTTTGAATCACAAAAGAATTGCAACTCCAATTGAAGAATCCGCGCTTGGAAGGTTAATAAGCCTTGGAGAAGAAAAGTTCATACTCCATATTTTATGACCATTTTTTCTTACATTGTGTGCATTGGTATATTTTACGTTTTTTTAGCTGGAAAAAGGTATGTATTATGAATGATCTTATATAACTGACCGTGTTATATAATTTTTTTTTAATGTAAATCTTTTAGCAGTTGACAGGTCCAACCATAAGACGGATAAGAGAAAGTTCTCAAACCTGTAAAAACATACTTGGGTTTGCCATATTATTATTGGATGAAAAAAAACCATATGTTAGGTCTGGCCCAAATCCGGTCACAGTCCATAAATGATCAACCATATTGCATTTATTATATGCATGTTTCACTAAATACGAATATTATCGATGTCAGTAAACTAGTAATACATGTACGTTAGAAAACAAAGATTACCGAGTACCAATATTTTTATTTTGCTTTTTTAACTTGAAAATTATCTCCGTTGATAGGCTTTGTGAATTATAATCGACACACGCGAAAATGTGGCCGACTTTACATTTTGTGAAAGTTACAAATATTATTTATACTATATTATAAAGCATTTGACAAAAACTCTTAAAACTCATTCTTTATGCATGAAGTACTGTGTGTTAACGCATATTACTTAAAATTTAATATTACAAGTAATTGTACATAAGTACAACTTATTAAAGCTCAGTTTTTGAATTCATATAACTAACTATAGATAAACATAATAAAATATAGGATAAACATATCATTTTAAATATAAAAAATCTAAAATATGATTAGGATAATTATTGAGTTCTAACAGAATTATTATTTTTATAAAAATCTTGTTGTTAAGCCAAAAATAAATTACTTCACTATTTGACCTAAATTAAATTACAATAAAATGTCGAATTAAAGAAATTGGACAAAAAACGAGAAGTTTTAAATAATTAATTTGATATTAATATCGATATATATTTTTTTCAATTTTTTTATTTAAAAGTAAAAACATTATCTTTCCCAAAACCACATAAACCGTATTATATTAACAAAGACAAATAAAACAAAACATTAAAATGAAAATGTATCTCGCTACATTGTGCGAGTATCCTTCTAGTTATTGTTAAACGTGTTAATCGATTTTAAAAGAACAAGATTAATTAATTACATGTACTGTGCAAAAAACTACGGAATTGATCGTTGGTTTGGGGTTATAAAACAAATGGCTAAAACGATATAGGAAACCCTGTTATTAATTGCTTCAAGATAAGTAATCTATATCCTCAAAACAATTTCATCGCCAACATTTGAAAGATTAACGTGTTACGTATTATCGATAGATTGCTTTTAAAAAACGTGTGTAGAATAATTATTGACACCGCACCGGTGATAATAATCTCGGTATATGACGATAAACGCGTGATCTTACATGAATTCTTACGAACTAAAAACTTAAGGGCTGTTTGGTTCATGGATTTGGATGGAATTGAAAGGAATTGGAATGGCCAAATCCTTTGACCAAATTCCAAATACAATGTTTGGTTCATGAAATAAAAATGATGGAACCCTTTCAATTCTAATAAATTTCTTCACTCACGGATTTTACATTCCACGGCAATACCCTTGGATTTCAATTCCTTTCCGACAAATTCCTTCCCTAATCCAAATTCAATCAACGTTGCCTCTATCATCTCATCTAATTGATCTCTGGTTCGATCTCCATCTGGTACGCTCTCTCTCTCTCAATCTCTCTCTCTCTCTCTCTCTCTCTCTCTCTCTCTCTCGTACTTTCTCCATCTATATGAGATCGATAGACAACATATGTAATCAATGAATCAATTCAAGATAACTAGCTATCAATATCACTAGTCCAATTCCGTTATTCAAAAATCATGAAAATGTCATTTGTTGATATTTAATTCTGATTCCAAAGTTGAATCCTGTGAACCAAACAAAAAAATTCCAATCCATTAAGAATTCCATTCCAATTCCATGCAACCAAACGCAATCACAAGGCATGGTCAAATTCCATTACATTCATTCAAAGTCAAATTCATTTGATGAATTCTAATTCCATCGAATTTCATTTTACAAACCAAACGTCCCCTTAATGTTCCTATAGCCGTATAATTCTTAACAATTTGGTGGAACAGATTTGGTACACACCGACTAATAAAATTTTTGTGGCTCAAAAGCAGTTGGCAGCAATGTATCGTGACATTGCACCTACACTCGCATTGTGCTTAAGACCGAAACCCCGTCATTAATTTTCATTATTATTAAATTAATATATGATTGTTAAATATATTATTTTAAAACATATCGTCATAATTAATATTTTTCTCAAAATTCACCGTTGACCGTTGTTGTACATGTTATACAAATATGTAAAGTAATACAAAATATTTACGAAAATTTTGTATTTTAAGAAAAATAAAAAAATATATTTTCATAACAGAAATATTAAATACGATTTTTTAAATCTAAATTTAAAAATCATAGGTTTTTTAATCATACAAAAGTCAAATATTAAAACGATTCTGAAAGTCCGATGGTATTTCGTTAATTATAAGAAGTCAAATGTCCAAAATACAAATTGCAAGTCTAATGGTATTTTACGTTACAAAGTCCATTATTTTAAATGATAATTAATATATCATATTTTTAAAATGTAAGGGTGTTTTGGTAATTTCAAAGTCTAAGGACAATTTGATACTTTTATATAATTATACTAGAAGAGTACTTGTGCAATGCAGCGATATATATATCGATTTTAATGTTTTATTTTATTATTTGTCTTTGTCGATGTTATAATACGATTTTATGTGTTTTTAAGAAAGCAATAATGATTTTATTTTTGAATAAAAT